GGTGCTGACATCCCTGCCATGACCAAGGCAGTGGAGTCAGAAAACCGCTCCTGGGACTGAACACAGTCAGGAAGGGTGCTGCCTTCAAAGCCACACTGCTGCTAGCACTGTGCTGGCAAAACCTGCCTGCCCACACCCCATACCTTGTCACCCTCGAAGCCAGCAACTGAGCCACTAGGGAAACTGTGCTCCCTCCACACCAGGCCTGACCCACCACGCCTTTCAAATGTCCCATGGTCTGTCTGAGGGCCCAAGCTACAATCGCAATTGGGACCTTGTTTCCCAATCTTTGTAAGCACTGGAAGTGTCTCAGGCACCAGGAACCTCAGCCAATTCCCTGTGTCCCTGGAAGAAGAGGGAGGCCCAGTAGTCTGTGGCCTGCACAGGGAAAGGTATCCCCTGGCTTGGGAAAAGAGGTAGCCAAGAGAGGAGAGCATTAGCCAGATCAGTCTGAGCCCACGGCCCGTGGGATCTGTCAAATGCTGCCTTCTGCTGCCCTCTGGTGTTTGTGAAACGAACTGCTTCTCTACCCAATCACATGGTGTTTTAATTACTAGAATGAGTAGCTGTGAATACCTGGTACTAAGAAACAAGAACTTCCAGACTGCAGGTCAAAGCCACCAGACTGGTCAACACCATGACCACAAACTGATTTGGTCAGCTGACATCCAGGTCACATTTTCCCCAGTGTTACTGGCGCAGGCCTCCTAGTGTATTTACCCACAGTAACCAGAAAGCTGATGTCATGGTTTGTGTGAACTTCCCAGTTAAGCCCTACCAGGAAGTGTCTGACTTGCTAGTTTGCTTTTCTTTGTAGCTTATCTTTTCGGGGCCTGAGCCCCACCACCCACTTCTGTCCTCACCTTGGATGGAGATTAGAGGGTAAGGTCTGTGATTTACAGGACTCAGCCAGTAGGAAAGAAGTGACTATCAATCACTTGTGACAATCCTGGAATGAAGTGCCACTCACTCTGTGCAACCAATAAACTACAGTCATTGTTCATGGTTTTAAATCCATACACCCAAAAATACCAATAGAATTATGGGCTGAACAATAAGCAAGATCAGAGCGTCCCTCCCCTGCGCATGTGAAATGTTCTGCTACAGTGTCCCATCTCCCCGTTAAGGTCCCCAGTGCTGGATCCACTGGGTGGTTCTCTTTCGGAATGGCCACCCTTGGTAAGTTTGGAGCCGACGCTCCCCGATTAGTGGCTGTCATGCTCTCCTCCCTCTCTTTTCCTTACAGTCATTTGTGCTGAACTGGAAAATGGTTTCAGGTCACCGCAAAGGAGGGTAGCTTCGAGCAGGTGGCACTTCGAATGACTTGGTCTGAGTTGTGCACATGGGGCCAGAGATCAGAAGCACTCTCACCAGTACTGTTCCAGATCCTTCAGTGCACACACCGTTTTGTGCACCGGTGGGGCTGTGGCTATGGTTGCAGTGCCTTTTGTGAGGACTGCCTCTACCCCAAGACCACCACTGCCTCTGAGCTCTAGGTATCTGCAAGCTCTCTGACACACGGTTTCAAGTCACTGGAAGCTGGAGATGTCAACAGAAAACACTTCTTCCTTTCTGCTTAGACAGCGAAGTCTTTAGCTTCCAGGTGCTTGGGCTGTCCCCATCCCAAGTCTCTGAAGTGCTCTGCTGTTAGGGGAAAGGCATTTGCAAACAAGGCCAGGCAGAGATCAGAGGTCCCCTGCACTGCGTGGGGACACACATCACACTCTGTCCAGCTGCTGTTTGCTTTCCTCCTGGGGAAGAGATGGCTCTCCTTGAGGCAGTAAGGATGAAAGGCGGCAGGGATGGGGGTGGAAGTACGGGGGAAGGGGTGTCGGCAACTTGTGTAGGGTCAGGGCCTGTGTAATCAGGTCTCGGGAGGGAGGTTGATCTGCTGATCTCCTTCAGGGCTTTGGAATTTGGCTCAAGAGATGCCATCCTGCTGGGTTCACAGAGGAAATTCCCAGGGGACAAAGGTACTGGCCTAGCCACAGAAGTGAGACCACAGAGGGACAAACACTTAGGAAAAGAGGTGCTTTTAGGAAAAGAGCACTTGCTGCTGCTGTGATGAGAACTGTCAGACCCCTGGGATGAGCAGTACAGTCACAACAACAGCATGGCTCTGGGAAACAAGTCAAGGTAGCATAAACAATTACATCATTCACTGAGAGAAGATACTGGAAACAAATCACGGTAGTTTATACAGTGCCACAACACACATTCAACTAAAAATTATTTGGACACACACAGCTAGCTGGTCTGTAATTGGAACTACCTGTGATACCATAGATAAAAGTTGCAGATGCAAGTGTCTCTAGCATTCTGCTTTAATTAAAGTGTTTGAATCATAGGAGGACAAAATGAGATAAATGAGTGTATCTACAGAAGCAGGTTCTCTAATGCTGGAGTCATCATTCAGAGACCTGTTTAAGAGTTAGCATGCAGTCGCATGGAACATGATGCATCATGAGATGAAGGCGAAAGACGGAGCGTCCCTGCATCTTAATACATAAGACACAACAATCACAACAAACTCCCAAAACTGGAGAACAGACTCGATGCTATGTCGTCACAAACAAAGCAGAGAGGTTCAGAGAACAAAGAGAACAGAGCACATTTGATGAGGGTCCACAGGCCCCAGCAGCCTTTCCCTCTCCCACCAGTCAGGTTTGCAGAGGGCCCTACACAGGGTAGGCTTGGCTGAGGAAAAAACATATATATACACTTTCTTCCTGTGTATTAGAACTTGCATTTTAATGAACAAAGGGCTTATGTAGGAATTAGTATATGGCTCAGTGGCTAATTTGCCACATAGATTTAAGAACCTGGGTTCAAATCCTCAGAACCCACGTAGAATCTGGACACATAGCACTCCTACAGAAGCTGGAAGTCGGAGGTGGAAGAAACTCCAGACAGCTCGAGTAGGACAGCTAGCCTGTCAGGCTCAGAGGCAAAATTCGAAGGGGTTTGTCTCAACCAAGGAAGATGAGGCCTAACACCCCAGGTTATGATGAAAGGCATCTTCAGAAGCTGTGATGAGCCTGGCCTCAGGTCTAGAACTGTCTGTTTAGTAACAGGCTGTATCACAGCTACTTCCTCTGAATTTGAATATCTCTCCCTGGAGAAAGGAGGAGGCTCACAAAACTCTTAGACGGTTATTACTCTGTGACATCGTGTGAGAAGTGGACTCGGGATCTTCCTGCAAGCTGACTGGCACGTGGCCAACACATGGATTAAAGTGCAGAATAGACCACGTGTTAGGGCATCAAACAAGCCAGGCAAATGTAAAAAACAAAACCGAACCCCAGACACCAGGTGCCGGGGAACGTGTACATCCATAAAGGGGATGAGTTACCTGTTGCCTTCCTCCATTGACTAACATGCCAGAGGGAGTCCACTAGAGAAACAGAATTCAGAGCTGGGCTGGAGAGTGAGCTCAGCGGAGAGTACTAAGAACACAAACTGCTCTTCAAGAGTTTGGTTCCCAGCACATCAGGTGCATGTACAGGTGCAGACCTGCACACATGTACGCAAATAAACACAGAAATTGTGTTAAAAATAAGAAATCTAAGTTATCTTAAAGCTACAGAGCCTATATAAACCTTAGAGCTAAGAAAAACTGAAAATTCCAAAGTAGAGATGTTTTATGGAAACAATGCATGCCTATTTGCCAAGACAATCATGAGAGTTGAGAGCTAGAGTCAGGAAAGGGTATTAGACGAAGCTGGAAAGCAAGGCCTGCTTTGGTAGCTCTAGATGTGTGTTAGCTACAGTTAGGTGTTATGGTTTGTAGCTGAAATGTCCATCAGAGCACATGTGCTGGAGGCTTGGCTCCTAGCTTGAGGTGCAGCAGGTGGGGCCAGCTAGCTTCAGAAAGCGATCACTGGGGTGGTTCCTTGGGGAACTAGATCTTGCCCCCAACTGTTTCCTGTATCTTCCTGCCCCTCTACTTCCTGTCCACTCTCAACCATGAATACTTTCTCTACATCTTTCCAAGAGGTCCCTGCCTATCCTTGGACCCACCATCAAAAGATTCAAGAAGCTATGGCATGAAATCTCTGCAGTCACAAGGCAAGAGATCCTTCCTTCCCTCAAAGTTATACTAGGCATTCTGTCCTACAAACAATAAATAAGATCAATCTCACGGACACTGGACAAGAGGCCTAGTCCAACCCCAAGGGAGTGGTCAGGATTTGAACACTCATAACCCGATGCTTAACCACTTAACAATTTATACTCGGGGCTGGAAAGATGGCTCAGCAGTTAAGAGCATTGCCTGCTCTTCCAAAGGTCCTGAGTTCAATTCCTGACAACCACATGGTGGCTCACAACCATCTGTACTGAGGTCTAGTGCCCCCTTCTGGCCTGCAGGCATACATACAGCCAGAATATTGTATATATAATAAGTAAACAAATAAATATTTTTTTTAAAAAAAAAATTTATACTCCCTGCCACCCTTTGGCAGAAGTGGGGACTGAGCCCAGGATTTCATGGATGCTAAACAACCTTCCTATTCCTGTGTGCGCTTTAGACAAATTTCAGATTCAGATTCTGGAAACTAATACATATATGCAATGAGATCTTGGAAACCTAAAAAAGTTTCTGTGTGTGTGTGTGTGTGTGTGTGTGTGTGTGTGTGTGTGTGTGTAACAAGATCTTGAGGGTAAAATGTTAATCTAAAAATGAAATTCACCTTTTGTATCTTCACCTTATATAGACAACCCGAAGGTCATCTCACACATTACCAACTCTTTCTGTTCTCCTACAACCTGTCACAAATTTAACGTACAGAATATTTTAATTGTAGTGCCGGTGTTTAAGGTTTAAGATTAGGAATGTTCTGGAGCAGAGGATGCTGGGGACTCTCCAACCTTTGCCATTTTATACCCAGAAGGAACCTGCAAATACATCTTTTACCATTTTGATTCTTGAACATCATTATACTAGAAACCATTAGTCATGAGTCTGGTTTAAATGATAGTTTTTAAAAACACATTTCAAATTCATGTTTAGCATTTAATTTAAATATGCAGTTTCTTGGTCAGCATTTCTAACTTTACAAAAGAGTGGTTTTATGTTTAATGTATTTTATAACAAATACAGTCAGTGGTTGAATTACCGAAAGTATTTGACTTGTGAATGATAAACAATTGATCATTTGTGCATAATTTTACTTTTTGCTTGGGAAGTTTTACAAATTCAGAGTAATAAATTCATTTTATTTTTTAAGTTCAATTATAAAAAAGTATTGTTTATACTTCAAAACATACAAACACTGTTATAACATTTCCAAACTTGTCAGTGACAGGCTGGTGCCAAGTGTGATAAAGGAGGGAGGGTTACTGTCAGGGAAGAAAAGAAGATTCTTGAAGCCAGCTAAACAGAATTGATGGGTACGATCTACCTTAAAGCTGCTGTTTCGGCGCCCCCTGGTGGGACAGTGAATGTGAGGAAACCCGGGAAGATTTTCTAGCTACCTTCAATCCATTTAAAATATACTAATACCAACTTTTAAATTTAGAAATACACACTGGTACCAGCTAGGGTTTTTGGTTGTTTTTAAGGGTGTCTCAGTTAGGGTTTCTATTGCTGTGAAGAGACACCATGACTACGGCAACTCCTATAAAGGAAGACATGTAAGTGGGGCAGGCTTATAGTTCAGAGGTTTAGTCCACCATTGTCATGGTGAGAAGGGTGGCAGCATGTAAGCAGACATGGTACCGGAGGAGCTAAGAGTTCTAAATGATCCACAAGCAACAGCAAGAGAATTGTCACAGTGGGAGTGGCCTGAGCATGAGACCTCAAAACACACCTCCAGAGTGACAGTTACTACCAGGCCACATCTCCTTATAGTGCCACTCCCTAAGGGCCAAGCATTCAAACAGGAGTTTGGGGGGCCATACCTATTTCAACCACCACAAAGTGCATTGCCAAAAAAGGAGCTAGCCAGACAAGCAGGCTGTCAGCAATGTTATATAAACATCAGAAAGTATAATTAGCACCAAGTCCTTGTAGACCTCAACAATCAGACATCCTGACACTGTCACTCCAACCTCAGAAGCACAAAGTCCTCACACAGCAATCTAATGCTGTACAAACACAGCTCCACCTCATCCCTTCAGTTCCTTCCAGTGCTTTTTCAGTCCCTTTGGTAACTGCTTTGTTGCTGAAAAAACAAAACAAAACAAAACAAAAGAAAACAACAACAAACAGGCCATTGATTACTGATGCTGTGTTCTCATCCCTGACAATAAAAAATTAATGTGTACAACTATATGGTAGGCCACTCTTAACATTTACTGAATTAAAAAAATCGTGAGGGCGTGGCATGGATGCCAGATGTGGTGGTACACTTCTTTAATCCCAGCACTTAGGAGGCAGAGGCAGGCTGATCTCTGTAGGTTCAAAGTCAGATTTATCTACACAGAGAGTCTTTAAAGGGGGGGTGGGGGGAATAAAGGAGGTATGGGGGAGAAGGGATGGAAAGCTATTAAAAGTGAGCTTCTCTTACAAACAATGAAAATCAAATTCAACCATGCATCATGAAAAGGTAGACCTGGAGTTAAGTGGTTACACGGCTAGAACTCTGGGACCCGTGGCACTGCCATGCATCACTACAGTGCCTGCCGCTCTGGGTTGCTCTGAAGCACGTGGCCAATGTCACAAGGACAGCACAAATCAGTTCCCTTCCAGACAACACTGTGGGAACTCAGGGCTAAAGCCTCTCCTGGAATTGCATTTGGGAAGATAACAATAATGTGACCACACCAGCTCACCCTGGCCCCCCACCTCCAAACTACTCTGGCTTCAAACCCATGCCATCTACTTCAACAAGGGAAAAAAAATCAGGCCTGAATTCAAATACACTGGGAAAAATTAAGTTTTTTAAATTCATCTTCAAAATTCTGATTACCTATCAGAGAGTTGCAGTGCTAGAAATAGAACTGAAAGCCTTGCACAGTCTAGGCAAGCTTCCTATCAGTTACATATATAAATCTCACCTCTCCCCTCCGTATGTTCCTCTGTTCCTACCTTGTCAAGTTCAGTGATTTCAAACCTACTTTCCCATGAACAAAGCAAAGAGAAACACCTGAGTCCCCTAGAGTTCTAAGTGCACAATCTCTGAGCATCTTCAGTACATAAAATACATGAGTGCGAAGTGACCCGTGCCTGAGGCCTGCTCAGTGGTGTGGGTTTGAAACTACTTGTTCTCTAAAACAGAACAGATGTTGAAGAGTGATAGCCTGGGCTTGTGAGGGCTTGTGGATGTGCCAGCTCAAAGGTGGGAAGATGCTTCTGGGCGGCAGTAACGATAAGGAAGGCTTCATTTCATACACCATGGCCTTTTGCTCTATACTAAACACTACCTGAGATTAAAGACTATTTCCCTTGCTTGCACAGGAACAATTAGACTTACACTGACCCAGTGAAACCCTAAGACAGGACGACAGTTCCACAAGAACATCAAGGACAGCTGAGAAAACTAGCACTTCATGCACAGTAGCCACAATGCACCATACCACAAACCATGGTGGCAAACTATCTGCAAAGGGCCACATGTGTACACTGCGGCTTCCCAGCCCAGGTCCTGTAGCAGAGCACCCAACATACCAAACCCGAGAAAGCATATGGCTGTGTTCCAATTCTATTCACAAACACTAAAGAGCATGTTAATTTTCACGTTTATGGTTTTCTTTTTAAAAACCTATTTAAATTATAAATACATTTCTAATGAATAGGCTCTGAAAAGCAGTCAGTCAGTGGCTGGACCTGGTCAGCTCAGCAGCTGGCTCTCCGGTAGCAGTCATGGACAATATTCAGATCTCTGACTTCGTAGACTTGCTTTTTCACATTTCTCATTTAAAAATTAGGCCACACAAGCTCTGTGAATATTCTCACATGAAAAAGTAATTCAGGAAAAAAATCCTCACCTTATAAGAAAAAAAATCTGTTAACCAAATAATTCATCTTAAAATACATAATTCAGAAACATGTTTGGAAAATTACAATTTTTATTCTATGCAATAAAAACAATATGCATAGACCTGGTACATAATTTTTTAGTTTTTACTTTAGGGAAAAAAATAATGAAAAAGGTTTGTAAATCTCTTTGTTCCTACTACTATAAAAAAGCTGTTATGATGTCAGCAATCACTTACATGTACAAGCATCAATTCTATACATCATTTGTGCCTAGGAATCACTTCATCTAATGAGTCTGAAAGCTTCTTTGATTACGCAGTTACGTCACAGCTCTGCCATAGCTGTGAAGGCAGCTCTGGCCCCAGAACACGGGGGCACACTTGCACGTAACAGTCATCAGTGTAAAAACTTCACACACCCATGGTATTGTCATCAGTGTAAAAACTTCACAAAACCTGACATAACTGGCACGAGTGTAAAAGTTACTTCACAGTCTATCTACCTCCATCAAACCCAGAATGATTCATCCCCACTACATGCAGATGCACGGGCAGTCTCATCCCCAGTTCTTAAGGAAAACGCAGAACTCTGCAGGATCTCCCACTGTCAGGGCTTGAGATTATAACAGAAATGTATTCAACAGGCAGAAGTCCATGGGCTACAGAAAAAGGAACTGAATAGCAACTGTTAACCGACCTTATCCTTTCTACTTTGACAGCGTAAGGCATTGAGACCTAACTGGTTTCTGGTGCCTAATCACAAAGACAGCTCATCTTCTATCTTTTACTTCTCAGGAATGTCTCCTGATCGTTTCACACTGCGACGGATGAGATCACTTCGTCCAACTTCAGCCATTTGCTCTTCCCAAGACTTCATTTCATTATCATAACGAATTCTATCATCTTTAGCAAGCTGAATGTATACCTGAGAAAGAGTGTTAAAATATTTTATTTAGAAAAGAGCAATTTATCTCTGGAATGCTTCCATCTACACAGAAACTCTATCACTATTCTCCATGCACTAAAGGAGAATACAGAAATAATTTTAAATAAAATGTTAGAGGAGAAAAGGTTAAAAGAGAAAGTGTTTAAGAAAGTGTTCTCCATCAGAAAAATTATCCACCATGATCCCAGAGATACAGAGATGGTTCAACATACGAAAATCTGTCAATATAATACATATAAAAAAAAACCCATTAGACCATCTCATTAGATTCTAAAAAAAAACAAAAAACAAAAAACAAAAAAAACATTCAGAAAAATACAACATCCCTTCATGATAAAGGTCTTGGAGAGAGCAGGGATACAAAGAACATACTTAAACATAATATATAATAAAGGCAATAAACAGCAAGTCAACAGCCAACATCAAACTAAATGGAAAGAAACTCAAAGCAATCCCACTGAAACCAGGAACAAGACAAGGTTGTCCGCTCTCTCCATATCTATTCAATATAGTACTTGAGGTTCTAGCTAGAGCAATAAGACAACAAAAGGAGATCAAAGGAATACAAATCAGAAAAGAAGTCAAACTCTCACTATTTGTTGATGATATGATAGTTTACATAAGTGACCCCAAAAATTCTACTAAGGAACTTCTACAACTCAAACACTTTTAGTAATGTAGGAGGATACAAGATTAAATAAAAAATAAATAAATAAATAAAAATATAAATAAATCAGGGGCTGGTGAGATGGCTCAGAGGTTAAGAGCACTGCCTGCTCTTCCAAAGGTCCTGAGTTCAATTCCCAGCAACCACAAGGTGGCTCACAACCATCTGTAATGGAGTCTGGTACCCTCTTCTGGCCTGCAGGCATACACACAGACAGAATATTGTATACATTTAAAAAAAAAAAATCAGCCCTCCTTTACACAGATGATAAATGGCCTGAGAAAAGAAAATAGAGAAACGTCACCCTTCTCATAAAATATCTTAGTGTAACTCTAACCAAACAAGTAAAAGACCTGTCTGACAAGAACTTTAAATCTTTGAAGAAAGAAATTGAAGAAGAAACCAGAAAATGGAAAGATTTCCCATGCTCTTGAGTAGGTAGAATTAACACAGTAAAAAAGGAAATCTTACCAAAAGCAATCTACTGATTCAATGTAATGCCCATCAAAATCCCAGTAAAATTCTTCACAGACCTCGAAAGAATGGTACTCAACTTCATATGGAAAAGCAAAAAACCCAGAATAGCTAAAACAATCCTGTATAATAAAGGAACTTCTGGAGGCATCACAATCCCTGACTTCAAACTTCACCACAGAGAAACAGTGCTGAAAACAGCCTGGTATTGGCATAAAAACAGGAGGACCAATGGAACCGAGTCGAAGACTCACAACTACGAACATCTAATTTTTGACAAAGAAGCAAAAAAAAATCAAATGGAAAAAAGAAAGCATATTTAACAAATGGTGCTGGTATAACTGAATATCAACATGTAGAAGAATGAAAATAGACCCCTATCTATCACCACGCACAAAACACAAGTCCAAATGGATCAAAGACCTCAACATAAAGCAAGCCACACTGAATCTCATAGAAAACAAAGTGGGAAGTACACTTGAACGCATTGGCATAGGAGACCACTTCCTAAATATAACCCCAGCAGCACAGACACTGAGAGAAACTACTAATAAATGGGACCTCCTGAAACTAAGAAGCAAAGGACACGGTCAACAAGACAAAACAGCAGCCTACAGAATGAGAAAAGATCTTCACCAACCACACATCAGAAAGAGGGCTGCTGATCTCCAAATTACACAAAGAACTCAAGAAATTGGTCATCAAAAGAACAAATAATCCAATAAAAAAAATGGGGTACAGACCTAAACAGAGAACTCTCAACAGAGGAATCTAAAATGATTGAAAGACAATTAAAAAAAATGTTCAACATCCTTAGCCATCAGAGAAATGCAAATCAAAACAACTCTGAGATTCCATCTTATACCTGTAAGATTGGCTAAGATCAAAAACACTGATAACAACTTTGCTGGAGAGGTTGTGGGGTAAAGGGAACACTTCTGAATTGCTGGTGGGAGTGCGAACTGTAAAGCCGCTTTGGATTTCTGTATGGCGATTTCTCAGAAAATTAGGAAACAATCCAAAGGATGCTCAATCATACCACAAGGACATGTGCTCAACTATGTCCGCAGCAGCATTGTTTGTCATAGCCAGAACCTGGACACAATCTAAATGCCCCTTGACTGAAGAATGGATAAAGAAAATGTAAAGAAAAAATAATGACATCTTGAAATTTGAGGGCAAATGGATGGATCTAGAAAGCATCATATTGAGTGAAGTAACCCAGACCCAGAAAGACAATTATCATATGTACTCACTCATAAGTGGCTTTTAGACATAAAGCCAAAAAAAAAAAAAAAAAAGCAAGCCTACAATTCACAAGAAACATACATGGACCTAATGTACACGGGAAGTAGAAAAAGGCAAGATCTCCTGAGTAAATCTGGAGCATGAGGACCATGGGAGAAGGTAGAATGGGAGGGGGGAGGAGAAAAATACATACCTCAATAAAAGCAATTAGAAAGAAATAAAGTGTTGTCCAAGGTAGGTAGGTTGTTAATTTAGGGACTTAGGGGAGAGAAGAGGGAGGGGCAGGTGGGACAAGACATGTTTTAAATGTTAGTTTATTTACTGACATCCTCCAAGCTGGCCTTAATGAAGGCAGTCTGAGTACTCCCTTCACTGGCGCTGCAACATGAGCCAAGCCTAATCTGATGTACTCGAAGGTACTCTAAATGGACACATGAAGCCGAAACTGCACTACTCACCTGCTTTTCGTCACTAGATAGATTTTTCCAAGCCTCATTTATAGTCTTCAGTTTTCCCTGGAAGACAACAGACAGTTAAGATGTACACAACTAAGAAGGCAGCAAAACAGACCATTTCCCATTTACCCCAACAAAGAACTCAGCTGTCATTCATAAGCAACATCCACTGACTTCTTTCTACTGGACTGCTACATTTTTATTGAGCTATTACATTTTCATTTACGTTTCGAAATGTAACATGAGTATGAAATACAATAATTATCTCTTTTGATCAAAAATGCCTGTATTCATCTCCACTCTATCATAAACTAACTTCACAGGTTGTTTTCTTCCCTGTAGTTTTTTTATTCTAAATTTTGTGCCTAGATATTTAGGGATCATCCTAGGAATGGAGCAAACAGTCCTTAATTCTGCTCATCTGATCAGCTAACCTAGGTGGTATCACAGCAAAGAGGCCACTTTACATCTCTCAGACTTTGTTCACATAAAGTCATAGAAGGCAGGGGACAACAGAACATGGTTGTTTTGCAATTTCCTCCACACTCTATTAAATAAAGTCTAAAGCATAAATGCACGTGGACAATAACCAACAGAAGAGGGCAGTATCCACCTAAACTGTGGACAGTAGCAGGCTGGAATGGGAACTGGATTGGCTGACACTGGTTGCAGTGCCCAGAGGCAGTAAGGAGAACCTGGGAGCACCAGATTTACAAGGCAAAATCCAGTGTCCCAGAGGCAGCACCGGGTTGGGGGTCACAGAGGGGAAGGTAAAAAGAAACTTAAATGCCCACCATGGCAGATTTCAAACATTCACATTCCAAGAGAGTAAAACAGTCATAGTGAAGAATAGGAACTCTTGAGGACAATGGCATCTTGCAAAAAGGCAAGGGAAATACATGAAAACATATAGTATCTAGGGGACAGGGAAGGAAGTTCAAAAACAAGAAAATGAGAAGACACTCAGAAGGTCTATACACAAATACAAGCTATATAGAGTCTAAACAGAAACCAACAAGCAAAGAAGTCAAATCAAAAAGAACCCAAACTCAAACTGGTTTTATCTAAAAATTTCTAAAATGATATTTTTCTTTGTGTGCACATGTATATGCGCACACAATAAAGATTAGAAGACAACTTACAGGAGCCAGTTCTCACCTTCCGCCATGCAGGTCAGAGAAATCAAACTCAGGTAAGGTGCCTTTACCAGATGACCATCCCACCAGCCCAGACTTTATTTTTTTGTCTTATTTATTTATTTTTATTATTTATTTTTTGTTTTAGTTTGGTTTTTCGAGACAAGGTTTCTTAAACCGTCCTGGCTGTCCTAGAACTCACTCTGTATACCATGCTGGCCTTGAACTCAAAGAGATACACCTGTTTCTGCCTCCCAAGTGCTGGGATTAAAGGCTTATGCCATCACTACCTGGCTCAGAATTTTTTAATCTGTCGTTTTGAGGACAACCTGGGTGGCCTCATACTCTTGATCTTTCTACCTTAACTACCCAACTGCTGATGGTATTTCTCAAAACTCATAGTGGCTAGTAAACCAGTGGTAATTCTGAAATGCTGAAGAAACATTATTTTCAAACCATAACTCGATGGTTAATCTAAAAAACACAGGAAAAAGGCACTTGAAAAAAAACTTGAAATACTAATCGCCCACATATCCTTAATTAAGAAAAAGCTAGAATGAGAATAAATCAAGAAATACAAGCAAAGGCACACGGGCACTGATGCAGGAGCTTGGCATGCTGGTGTACACTGGACAGATGGCAGCCGCCAATCTGGAATAAACCAGAAGCTTCAAACTGATCTGACATCATACTAAATGTACTGAGCTAGTGAGCACTGACAAACTGGGATTCAAAAAAGATCATAAATGAAACTGGGTAATTTCAATGTTTCCTTTGTAAATATGCTAGGGATTAACTGCTGATAAGCCCCTCCTGCATATGTATGCATGTGTTAGTATCTATGTACATCTGTATGTATATGTATCTATGTGTTTGTGTGCACCTATGCATGCACATACGCATATGTACATGTGCATATGTGTACACACATCTATGTATGTGAGTCTATGTGTGGGGGCATTAGGAGGCTGGAGTGTTTGCAGATGTTCTCATGTGGCTCAAGTTGGCCTAGAATTCTCTTTGTGATCTAGGACAGCCTTGATCTCTCAAGGACTGGGAGCACAAACATGAGCCACCCATCTAACTTAGCCAGTATTTTTAAATGAATAAAATTATAATCAAGTTATATTCTCATTACTAAGGACAGGGCCCAGTCATTCAGGCTGATAGGTAATTCTAGGGTACAGCCTGCAAGCCAGAATAGATGTATTAAAAGTTCTCACCAGCACAGAGCTTTCCTATAGTAGTTTTAAAACAAAAACATAAATGTACCTAGACCCAAAGTAAATCAGTGACGGAGGAAACTCTAATGATCAAAATGGCGAAATTCTAACAATCAAAAAGGTAAACCTGCATTTTAGTATCAGGGAGTCACAAAAATTAAAATCGCAAAGAGAACTTCTGCCATGATCATGGCTGCTAATGCTGCCACCAACCCCTGCACTCTTGCCAGTAAAGCTTGTAGACAAGTGCACAGTCAAGAACTCACACTGTGGCGGGGCAACAGACATTTCTTTTCTAGATTTGAGGGTGATCAGTATGATGCTGGAAGATGCCAGAGTTTGGAACAGTACAAGAAGGATTGCTAAACTGATCCAATTTTGGTAAGTGGAAGTAGAAAAAAAACAATGTTGGGTACTAGAAAAGGGCCCAAGAAGGAATTTCTTTGACTTCCACAAGATTCTAACTTTTTTTTTGCTGTTTCTGACTTTTAATGGTTAGGCTCTTAAAAGCCATTTCCATTAAAGGAAAATACTTCGAAGATGAACATCCATTTTTCTAAGCAAATCATGGTTACTCTGGAAAAATAACAGTATGACTTTATTAAACACTAAAAAATAAAGGTGTTTAAGGGAAAATAAATAAAATTTTAAAATCCCAAAGAAAAGTGATTAAGTAGTCAATACAAACCTGAGAAGAGCCACGCTACACATATATTTCACATGTAAGTGCATGGTCAGAGGACCGGTGGCTGAATGACAGAACCAGTCACCTCCAGTGATGAGCCTAGCGCGCTTAACCGCCCAGTGAGTGACTTGGACATCACGAGGAAAACAGCGGCTACTGTCACTCTTGAGAGGATATGGCATGGGCTTTGGGTCCACCACATCACACTCTATGACTATGTCCACACGCACAGCACGTTCCCACTGCAGAGGTATAGTGGAGGTTCATAGATGTGAGCCTGTTCCACCTTGACTAAAGGTCAGTGAATTTGAGGTTAATTTTGCTTCCAAAGTTGTTGACAACAGGTGTGGCTACAAACAAGAGATCCTGACCTAGGTGTGGTTAATAAATATTTTGAGTATAGAGGTGGATCCGCTCCACCTTGTTATTCCTGCTCCTTCAAAGGATCAAAGGATATTGGCAGGAGGTTCCAGGGGAGTGGCTGCCTGCAGGAAACTTGGTCTATTCCTTATATCATGTTAATAAAGTCTGTTGCCTCCCCCTCCCTTTCTGGAATGAAGTATATAAGCATGTGGAAAATAACCGTGGGTGGTTCAGTATTCACTGAATGTCCCTCCCAATGCTGTTCTGTGTTTCTGCCTCTTATTTCTCTCATAGCCTTTTGCTTAACAGTTCTAATCCTCGCGTTCCTACCCTGTCGGCTAGATCCCGATAGGTGTAACCAATCTTGTTAAAGGACAAGGCATGAAGAGAGCTCATGCCCATCCTCAGAACCAGCCCTAATCTCATTCTTTCTGGGGATGCTGACACTAAAAAGCTGCAGGAGTAGAGCATTTCTAGAAGAATCTTAACTTCTCATGATACAAACATATTAGGTCTCCCCCGCCCCCAGACAGGGTTTCCTGCCCTGGAACTCACTCTGTAGACCAGGCTGCCTCAACCTCAGATCCACCTGTCTCTGCTTCCTGAGTGCTGGGATTAAAGGTGTGTGCTACCACCTCCCAGCTTAGTGTTATGTCTCCCTCTTTTCTTTTCTCTTCTCTCTTTTTTCTTCCCAAGACAGGGTTTTTCTGTATAACAATCCTGGCTGTCCTGGAACTCAATCTGTACACCAGGCTGGCCTAGAATTCAGATAGATCCACCTGCCTCTCCGTGCTGGGGATTAAAGGCATACGCCGGCACCGCCAGACATGTTATGTCTCCTAAAAGGGTTTATATTATATAGAGTTGTGTGTATGTGTCTGTATGAACCATAAAAACAGAAAGGTAACTTAATTAGAAATGTTCTGAATGTTGTTCTAGTGTGTATGCATAAAGTATGTATGGCAACCTATAGTCACCATATACCCAACTGTATGTAGTAAGAACAAGAACTTTTGTTGTTCCAGTGCTGGCAATCAAACCCGAGGTATCACACAGACCCAGCTAGCTCTGCCAGTGAACTATACACTCAGCTCCAAGGATTTTTTTATTGTTGTTCAAAGAGACACAATAAATTTCCACATTTTCTATTTTCTTCATTATGTGACATGACAGACATACAACTTCTTACATGATTTTAAACTAAAATAAATACAAACCTGCAAACAACCTGCAGCTCTGCTTACCTGAGCAGAGGCATCTTTAGCCTGTTGGAAGCTTTCACATACATAAATGTTGTATGCTGATCGAGGTCTTTTTGGTTTTCCAAGCAAAGTTAATTCCTGAATAATAATAAAAACGTCAGATACAGACACCAGAAACATCTAACAAAGCCTAATATCTAACAAAACAATTCACAACAATGTATAACAGAATCGGACAGGGACTTGCGGGCTGCCACCTCTGCTTCCCAAGTGCTGACATGGATGACAGCCTGCGCCACCACCCGCAGTGTGATTTGTATATAAAGTATGTTTGTTACATCTTGGAAGTCAAACATTTTTCCAAGAATAAAATCTTAAAAACTGTAATATAATGAGGCATTTCTCCTAAAACATTTTTTTTAATCATGGTTTCCTCCTTGCAGGATACATAATCATATTGGTCCAATCAATACATGCCTCCACTGAGCCTCATAAACACAGGACTATTTAGTAACCTTATCTCACCCCTTCTTTTAATACTCATAACATTAAAAGTTCCAAAGATGTATTCAATTCTTAGCAAGTGCCAGAAGGGGAACCACAGGATAGGCATGCAACATCTCTTGCACTTGGTCCCATATTCACTGTGATAGATATTGTACTCTCCCATTGATTGTATGTATTTGGAGACTAGCCGTATCTGAATTTATAAAATCCTGGGGTGGGTGAGATGGCACAGCAGATAAAGGTATGTATTGCACAACCCTGTAAAGGTGAAAGGACAGAATCAACTTCACAAAGTTGTCCTCTGACCTGTAAGTCAGACCCCTCCCCCACACTGCAAACACATATACAAAATTAATAAAATAAAGGGGGGAGGTCTGGGAGGTGTTAGAAGACCAAGGGTATTAAATACCTACAGTCCTATCTACATGAGTTTTATTACAAAAACCACAACAGCACTCCCTAAATAAAGAAAAATGGAGCTTGAAACAGTGGCCTTCATGTGAATTAATAAAAATTAGGAAACAGAAAACTTAAGCATGCAGATAGAAGTTTTAACAGCTATTTCTTTGAAAGGAAATAGAATCCTACTTGAATAACTGGCATTTTCCTCTGATATGTTGATGAAGGAATTTAGTATGTTTTAGCAACCTTCAAATTCATGGTCCTCTACAGACAATTCAAATGTGAAAGTTACTGTAGAAGGAAGACTCGGAGTAAAGATTCAAACTGTGCATCATTCACTCGTTTCATAACTCAAGCTTCGGACCAATCCTACTGACTGTTGCAACCAGGACTTTCCAGACACACCATATGAGCTATAACCACCCTGCTTTTGTCTAAATGGTGTGCTCAGCAGTATTCTGCTGTCACGTCTACTGTCACTGACACAAGGGACAACTACCTAGACTCTTGGTTGACATTTTTCCACAGGAAAAGAGTATTGCAATGATACTTACTCTCTTTCTTATTGAAGCTTTCTTTTTTAAACGTTTTTGTCTGACTTCTTTCTCAAAAGATACCAACTGAGTTGGCGTTAGCTGGTCTTTAAACTTGCTCATAGCTTCTTTGTACGCTTTCCATTCTGCCTTAAAATCAGCTTCATACACCTATACATTAAAAACCCAAATAAAAATCAATGACCTGGTTCTGGCAAGCTCAACACATCACATTTGCCAGGGACAAGCAGGTGAAAATGTGCTCTGAGATTTACTTTTCACACTCTTGCTAATCATGGTGCAAGGACTGCAACTGACCATCCTTCCTCATGGTTGTCAACCACTAACCTACACTCTACCCATCCATATCAACATCATTTATAAAACAAAAGATAGAGAACACTTGTGTGGATATGACTGTTAAGGAAAGAGAAAACTAAGATGGTAACACAGCTGGGAAAGTACTTGCCATGGCCAGTGTCCATAACCCTCATTGCTGGGGATGGGTGGGGGCAGAGAGGGGTGGATCCACGGAGATTGCTAGCCAGCCAGTTTAGATCAGTTGGCAAACTATGAGCACAAGCAGAGACTCCATCCAAAAGACAAAAGTATGAGCTAACTAGCCTTTGAAAAATTTGACATCCCTAACTACACAACTACTGAAAACATAAACACTTACTTTTTTTTCTGCCTCCGGTAGTTCCCTCCATGCAGCCCCAATTTTTCTAATCAGTTCTGAAAGTTTTGCATCTACAAATTAGAACAGAATCAAAATGGATGTCTCAATTTTATTTCTTAGGGGTTAATGTCTACAAGCTTTTGAAAATAGCCTAGTGGCTCACTCTGAAATCAAGTGAATTACATACATCTCTACACCCTCCAGACACAATGTTACAGACTACCAAAGACAGCCCTCAGAAAGCCACTGCTACTGTAAGCACCAGAGTAATCAACTGCTTCAGGTTTCTTACTTCTGTATTTCAATAGAAACAGTTTGTCACGTCTTTCAGAAATCATTGTTAGTAACCCCAAATAAACTACCAATTAGTCTTGTTGATACAATACCATCTTGCATTTCAATTATAGAAATGCCATTCAGAGGGCTGGAGAGATGGCTCAGCGGTTAAGAGCACTGCCTGCTCTTCTGAGGGTCCTGAGTTCAATTCCCAGCAACCACATGGTGGCTCACAACCATCCAAAATGAGGTCTGGTGCCCTCTTCTGGCCTTCAGGCATACATGCAGAAAGAATATTGCATACATAATAAATAAATAAAAAAGAAATACCATTCAGATATAAAAGTATTATAAAATTAATCCATTATTCTCCAGTCCTTTGTCTTAACCGGAGACACAACTGTTTAGTGCCAAGTCTTACATTTTAGAAGACAGGAGTATGGGTATAATCATGTCTCTTAAACGTTCACTGTCTGTCCCTTACCTCCAACAGAAGTACTTTAATTACAGCCCACATGATTTTCACAAGTGCCCTGTGAGGTACTTTAAGTAAAAGGACATTGAAAATCTTAAGGAACGACCAACTTTTTCAGCTATTATCTTTATATTATTACTCTTTTCTTTCTCTTTTTTTCCAAAACTCAGATAATTTTCAACGAAGCTAGCAATGATCTGTATAGACCATTATATTTTACAGAACACTTCCTGGTAAGTTATTTTATTGCACCTTTACAAACAATGTCCGGTTGAAGAAGTAACTGCTAAGCAAGAGCTAAATGAAGATAAATGAATTTGCAGGGCCATGGTGGTGCACAACTTTAATGCCAGCGCAGCACTTGGGAGGCAAAGGCAGGCAGATCTCAGTGAGTTTGAGATCAGCCTGGTCTACAAAGTGAGTTCCAGGACAGCCACAACGATTACAAACCCTGCCTCAAAAAAACCAAAGAGAAAGGGGGGGTATATAAATTCGTCAGGGGGACTTTTAAGCCCAGGGCAACTAGATCTCAACTTTATATTTTTTCTCTAGAGTGCTCTCCACTCTACAGGTTATTTTTAAAAATACTGTTCTCATTTCTCAATTGTATTTAAAGAATTTCTATTAGTTATAAAATATTATACAGACCATTAAAGAAAATGACTGTTGCCAGATGGTCTGGCAGTGCAAATCAAGATTGCAAGATGAAAAAGAAAAATCACGTTAGAGAAGAGCATTAAGTCACAAACTTCTTACCTGGGTGTTTAGCTTTAAATTTGGGTAGCTGTTCTGTAGAAAATCGAAGGTATGAAGTCAAAGGTTTCTTTGGATGATTACCCACGTTGGATGAAAAACATTTCGGAATACAGACAAGGCTACACACGGATTAAAGAATCGAATGTCAGGATGTCAGCTATTTATCACTCCTGTACAGACCTCACGTTCTAAATACAATGTCAGCCAAGGCGCTAAACAACCAACACCGGCACCAGAAATGTTAATAACCTTTATTTCTCTCTCCTCTGCTGTGCTAAGAACAAATTCAAGGGCTTCACTTGTAGAAGCACGCTAAAAAAGTCCTCCACAACCAGCTACTCCCCAGCCTTAAGACTTACTTTATAACCCTGCCCTAACCATGTAAGAGACTGCTGGGCAGTAGCCTGCAAACGCGGCGCCCTGGGTGACCTAGTCAAATGGAAAAGGGGGTTGTAGGTTTGAAGCACCCGTCCTGGCGCCCTGGGGGACCTAGCCAAACAGAAGAGGCTGAAGTGTTAAAGCACAAAACCTGTCAATCAGGACAGAACAGGGGCTAGCGTTCCGCGCCACAGCTCCGGCTCCGCCTCCAGGGCACGAGAGGAAGGCGGGAGCCCTGGGCGCCCAAAGGTAGAAGGTGACAGGAAGTGGAGGGTCGGACACCAAAAGCGCGAGACCCCTGGCGACCCGGAGACTCGGGTGGAACGAGAGGGCAGACGGGATGATGGACGTGCGGCGCCTCTCGCCCCGCGGCCTACCTGAGCGGCGAGGGCAGGCGACCCCCGCAGCCTGCGCATATCTCGGCCCCCGAGCGTCCGAGTGCTCTTAGCGCGCCCCACATTCCCCGGAACAGCGCCATCGCTCGGGCCGGCGATGCGCTGGCTCGGCGCCGCTTGCGGACAGCCGTCGTGGTACACACCACGGTGCCCACACAGCCGAACAAGCCGCGTGGGAGCCCCGGGCGTTTGTTATCATGCCCGCCGCGCGCGGGGCACTATGGGAAGCCCGGACTTCCGGTCTGAGGCAGGAGGCGGGGCGGACGGAAAGCGGTGTGCGTCCGTCCCCCCCCTTCCCCGCACTTCGGTGGGCGGGGCTGGGAAGGGGCGGAGCCTGCCCAGGAGGGCTTGGTCTGAAGCTGGTGTTTCTGAGCCGCGGGGCGGGGGCTGCTGGTCGCCCCGCCGTGTGTTCTGTTTTGCAGCTTGCAGGCTGTTGCGGGACAGGGACCACACCCGCCAGCTCAGGTCAGTGACGCTGGTGCTGCGGTTTGTGTCACAGTGCCTGGCCCCTGAGGTCAGAGAAGAGTGCAGTACTGCAGATGCCGGAGCCGCAGACTGCCTGAATCCCACTGTGCCTCATCTGAGCCCACAGGAGAGCACGGGACTACTGGGGGGTGGAGGAGCGGGAGGAGTGGTCATGAAACTCATCCCTCTGAATGCCGTCTTCTCTTTTATAATTAATAGAAAAGAGTTCCCAGGATGGCACAGTGAGAAGAGGCGCTTGACCCCAAAGCTGGCAAGCCGAGTTCAATGCCATGGTGTGGAAGACAGAACCAACTCAAGCAAGTTGCCCTCTGACCTACACACACACACACACACACACACACACACACACACACTAAAATGTGTCAATAAACAACCCAGGTTTGTTTTCATCAGATATCAACCATTACGATGTAGTGATTTTATTGTAAATGCGTATTTACAAAGGAAACATTGCTTGAACTTTCTTTGAACAGAAAGGACATCTGGATTTTATTTACCTCTAAGAAACAAACAGCACAGCCTTTCCCTGGATTTTGTTCTCAATGTCCACAATTCCACTGTCCGTCTGAACCTCGTGGTTCAAGTGTGCTACATGTAACCAAGATTTCTTTTCAGCTCTACATCCACAGACCCACTGAGGGTCATTACCTCATGGTTCCTGTAGTCTCAACAGAACCCAGACCTCACCTTGCAGGCCCATCGCCTTAGACCCAATTTTAAAATTCGATGAACAAGAATCACGATCTTTGCACTCTACCTAAATTTCCCACTTCACTCATCCAAGTCGATAATTTCTTAAATCATTTTAGAATCTCCACATTGACGCTCCACTCAGTAAGCCACTGTTGGTGCGGATGGATGGAGCCAACTTCCAGTATGCATCCTCATGGATGTTACGGCCAGAAATAGCCTGAAAAAATCACTTCTCTTCAAAGGAGAAAAAAAAATGCACTCACTGTCAAGAAAGGGTAGCTATTGAGGAAATTGAAAAGAACAGAAAGTGAGTCCGTGGGGCTATGGAAATGGCTCAGTCAGTAACGAAATTGCCTCACAGGCATGAGGACCTGAGTTTGGATCTCTAGAACTCCGGTTTAAAAAAAAAAAAAAAAGCTAGGTATGGCCGATTGCTCATATAATCCCAGTTCAGGGGGCAGGGTGGGGCTTGCTGGTCAGCCAATCCAACCAAACTATTGAGCTCCGAGTTCACTGAGAGGCATTGTCTCAAAAATTAAGGCGGACATTGAGGAAGAAATCCAACCTCACCCCTGACCTCCGCACACACATGTGTACTCATGCACACATCCACACTTGTGTACACATTCATGTGATGTGGGCATAATTCTGGACATGTGTGGGAGGGTGTCTCTAGTCACGATTAACTGAAGCAGAGCGCCTTAACCTCATTGTGAGTGGCACCTTCCAAGTAGCCCGGACATCAAGAGATCCCAGAGAAAGACAGTGTTGCCTGCCTGTTTTTACCTCTTCCTGAGCAAGTGGAACATTGTGGTTGCCATCACCCTTCACTAACAGTGGTGGATGGGTAGACAGATATATGGACAGGTGGATGGGTGGGTGGCCAGCCGATGATTTGGGTGGAGGGAAGATTCGTGGATGAACGGATGTTAAAATATTAGCATCTGCCCAGTTGTTTAAAATGAGAATTTGGCCTCATGGGGAAACATGGTTTCTGTTAGGAGACTGTCCTGTACTGTGTGAGCTCACTGAGACTCTGTTCTGGGAGCCAGGGCTGCACATCCAGCCACCCCTGCCTTTTGAGACGCAAGTATGTTTGTCTCAAACTATCCTCTGAAGCCCCTTGTCTGAGATGGGCTGCCCCCTTCACCTGGATTTTTGACAGGGAGGAGAGCACAGCCAACAGCCCAAGAGTGAAAACATTATGTCCTTGGAAACAGCTGAAAATGAAATGATTTCTGCAGTAAAACTACACAGGGTGGTTCTGCCCAGTAGGCAGGAAGCACCCTTGGGGGTCGTATCTATGAAAGCAAAGATTTTGGTTTTGTTTAATTGATACTTACGAGGCGGTGATGCATAAGGTAGCACTACTAGTTAGCATTGATGACCGCAGGCCTGGAGACTTCCATGCTGAATGATGGAGTGAGATTCACAGACAGCCTTCAAATCCAGGGGGAAATAGTCCTAAAACAGAAGTCCATGCTGTTTCTATAGTTATGATGGGCAAATCCCTTAGCCACAGTCAGAGCCAGGCCCTGGGAGAGCGAAAGACAGTGAGGGAGTTCCCCACAGAGAATCCTGAGCCAAGCAGAACGTCACAGTACAAGAAAAAGTAACCACAGAAAAGTAACCTCATCATACCGGGAGCTCACAGACCCCCAGCAGAAACATCGCAAGGCAGGCAGTATTGGGAGTCCCGGGCAGAGCAAAATGTCCCCGCGGCGAGACTTCTCAGTAAAAGAACACATAGCAACACATAGAACATCATCCTAATCGGGTACTCAGAACCCTCAGCAGAAACTGACAGTGGAACTCCGGTCAGTTGGCAAGCCTCCATGACTGGGCTTTGGGCTTCTCTTTCCCACGGCAGGCACTTTCATGGGATAAACAACAGTACCGGAAATAGTTTACCTTCTAGCTGTTTCCAAGGACATAGCGTTTTCACTTGTGGGCTGTTGGTTGTACTCTTCCTCTCTGCCACGGTGGGAAGGGTACAGTCCTCCCTCGAACAAGGGGCTTTGGACAACAGTCTGAGACAAACATGCTTGGGGATATGTGAATGGGTGTATGTGTAACCCTGGCTCCCAGAACAGTTCCTCCGAGAGCTCCCAGGGCACAGGACTATCTACTAATGTAATGAATCCAATGTGGATTACAATGAAATGGATGTAGCATGATAAAGAGATGCTTCTCCCAACTTAAAGGAAAACGTACTTCTGGAAATACAATATACTCTAGACATCGCTTGCCAAGCTGATCCACTCACCAGCAATTACAGAGCAATGTAACGTCATCCTCTGGTGGTGGGAAAAAGGATTGTTCACACAAAAACTATACAGTATAGCAACTTGGTAGCTGAGTTGATAAATAACTTGCCACACAAGCATGAGAACCTCAATTTATTTATTTATTTATTTATTTAGCATTCATTGTCCTGCCTGCATGCATGCCTGCAGGCTAGAAAAGGGCACTAGATGTCATTGCAGATGGTTGTGAGCCACCATGTGGTTGCTGAGAGTTGAACTTAGGACTTTTGGAAGGGTAGGCAGTGCTCTTAACTGCTGAGCCATCTTTCCAGCCCAAGGACCTCAGTTTAATACCCAGCACCCACACATATGAAGAGCAGGTGTGACTCGCGCTTATAATCTTAGCACTAGGAAACAGAGACAGGAGGCTCCCTGGGGCTTGCTGGCTAGCCTGTCTAGTCTAATTGTCCTACAAAAAAAGAAGGGAGGGAGGAAGGAGAGAGGGAATGAGGAAGGAAGGAAGGAAGGAAGGAAGGAAGGAAGGAAGGAAGGAAGGAAGGAAGGAAAAATAAAGGGGTGGGTGGATGGCTTCTGTCCTACACACAGACACACAGACACACACACACACAGAGAGAGAGAGAGAGAGAGAGAGAGAGAGAGAGAGAGAGAGAGGAAATACTTAAATACATACATACATATGCCTTTTAATGGGCACCTGCCTGCAAAGGTGCACACACACACTTTTCCCTAAAGGACATCATCTCACTATAGTGATGTGAAAAACCATTACAGCTAGAGTATCTTATTTTTTCAGTAAATCAAGAGTTTAATAAATTACATGTACAGAAAGCTACAGGTTTATTTTTTTCTAACCATTTCATTCACTTAACATCTGCTTTCACATGGCTAGTGTTTGTACACTAGTCGTGCAAGAGCAGTGGTTCTCAATATTCCGAATGCTGTCTAATATGGTTCCTCATGTTGTGGTGACCCCCAACCTCAAAATTATTTTCATTGCTACTTCATAACTGGTCATTTTGCTATTGTTGTGAATTGTAATATAGAAATCTGGATTTTCTCATGCTCTTAGGTGACCCCTGTGAAAGTGTTGTTTGACCCTCTCCAAAAGAGGTCACAGCCCATAGGTTGAGACGCGCTGTGTAAAGAAAGGGAATAGAGATCAGAGGGAAGATCTAGTGATGTTACCAGTTCCCACCTATTCTAGTTAATAAAAGACAACGAAGTCTGCAGTTTTAATTATCAAAGGGACATAAAGTTATTCTTAGCGATTGCTATAGTGCATCTAAAATAAATATATATAGCTTTGCTGTCTTTTTTGACAGTATTCAATGATTTATTCAGCCAGGTGATAGTGGTGCACACCTTTAATTCCAGCACTTGGGAGGCAGAGACAGGTGGATCTCGGTGAGTTCGAGGCCAGTTTGGTCTACAGAGCTAGTTCCAGAACAGCCAAGGCTATAAAGAGAAACCCTGTCTAGACAGGCTCCAAAGCTACAAAGAAACCCTGTCTTGAAAAATAAAACCAAACAAAAGAATATTTATTCATAAAAGATAAAACTCAGAAACAACTGGGGCTGGAGAGATGGCAGTGGTTAAGAGCCATTGCTACTCTTGCAGAGGACCCAGGTTTAGTTCCCAGCACCCACATGGCGGCTCACAACAGTTTCTAGCTCTTTCAAGGGGATGCCATGCCCCCTGCTGACTTTGGTGAACACCAAGCATGCAAGCAGCACACTTAACATTCATGTAGCCAAAACACTTACATACGTAAAATCAAACCTTCTTTTAAAATGATAAAAACCAGAAGCAATTCAGATATCCAGGAGAACAACTAAACAAAATAAGTGTGCTAATTATATTGTGTGCAATGTGTACACAATATAGGCAAAGTCACAATGAAGCTGTAGACATGTGTGTGTGTGTGTGTGTGTGTGTGTGTATACATAGGAGAGAATGTTGTCAGGTGCCTTCCTCAATGTCTTCCCACCTTATTTTTTTTTGAGCATGCTTGTATGTATGTAGCAACCATTAATGAAGAATAGGCTATGGTTTTGAAAGAGAGCAAGGAGGGGTGTACAAGGGAGTGTGAGGGGAGAAAGGGAGAGGGAAAAGAGGTAATTATAATCTCAAAAGGTAACTTTAGGAAACTTTTAAAAAAATGCAAAATATTAAAAACTTAAGGTAGTGGTGAGTCTATCTATATACCGCAGGAGAAAGTGGCAAATCTTTATTTTTACTACATATATTTCTGCTACATCAACTTTTTCCTAAAATGCAATATTAAAAATATATACGTACTTCTGTAATAATTAAAAATGTTTTCAGTTTCTCAGACAGGCCTGTCCTATGTTACACACTGTGATAAGTTCTAAAAATACCAAGATGACTAAGGCCTGACCCATCTGTTTCTGTGTGCCTGGGAGAGCAGGGGAAC